CCTGATACTGAGAATTTCATCTGTTCTGCAGTCACATAATTTCTAAAGATGCAGCCTGAATAGGAGGAAAAAACCATCACATTAATTTTCACTATCACAAGGATAATAATGAAAATAGTAACTTATAATATTCTAAATATCATATTAACAATATATCCAAATAGAAAGGTTAAAGACTTGGACATTTATTCAGGGTTCCTACACATTATCCATTTCAAAATTCCATACTTTTCCAGACTCAAATTTCCAAACCTCTCAGTAGATTTTCAGACCATATTTAACATAACATTTACATTTATCCATTTGGCAGATGCTTTTATCCAAGGCGACTTACAGTTGAGGATATAAATGGTTCATACAGCATTATTTTCAGCTTTATATTTGGTATATAGTACAGTCATCTGTAAATATTTGTATTTTTTCAGGGTTCTTTTCATTGATTTTCTCGAAGTGACAACATACAGAGTCCCTAAAATAAAATAAAAAATTATTTAATTAACCACTTACTGTGCGCCCGTTTTTGAGCATTTTCTGAAAAACGACATACCCAAATAAAAATGTCTGTAGCTCTTGAACCCTATGGTCTATATTTATAAATCTGGTATTGTTTGAAACTCTTCCGGCCCACCCGCATATTTCTTTTTTTATATAATATGCATTACAATTTCTAGTTTTATATAACCTATTTCCTTTGTGCATCACTGCCATCTTACTATGAATAAAACGAGAAAATGGATGAATAGAGATCTACTTGCTCAAAATTTCCTCTGTGGCGGTGGATAAACCATTACTCGAAATGGGCTGATGGCACTGTCACGAATCCTGTCCATGGACTTCCGTTCGATCGCCACCAGAGGTCACCCTTCCGTTACATTGACTCTCACACTACACAACCTAAAATAAAAAATAATCATAAAAAAAAAAACATAGGCCATTACATGCACACAAGAAACTTTTTTTTGCCCTCGAGAAACTCTTCACATGCGCATGGGAATTTATTGCATGCTTACGTATTACAATTTCTAGTTTTATATAACCGATTTCCTTTGTGCATCACTGCCATCTTACTATGAATAAAACGAGAAAATGGATGAATAGAGATCTACTTGCTCAAAATTTCCTCTGTGGCGGTGGATAAACCATTACTCGAAATGGGCTGATGGCACTGTCACGAATCCTGTCCATGGACTTCCGTTCGATCGCCACCAGAGGTCACCCTTCCGTTACATTGACTCTCACACTACACAATTAGGCTTTCGTTAGGGCAGTATGTCATATTTCAAGGCGTTAGGTCTCTTTAGCGCATAAAATGTGGCCAAAAATCCACACCGTGAAATGGACTGATGGCACAATAGGTGGCTCAGTGTGCATTGTCCAATATGCTATGTTTAATGGTTTCTCATGCACACATAAAAGTCTGTATGTTTTTTATTTTTGCAAAGGTCCTTGAGGCTATGTAATAGGGATGCAACAATACAGTCAGTCCATGGTTCAATACATACCTCGGTTTTTAATCACGGTTTTTGGTTCAGTTCGGTTCAGATGGCTAAATGTTTTTTTGCGATTTAAAATACGATAAAAAAACAAAACAACATGTGCCGCATTCGGTAATGCGATATATCAGGATAATAAATATGAAAGATATTGTTATCGTGGGCACTTCAAAATACCAAAATAATTATTTATTACAAATTATTCAGAATTTTGAATGCATTTTAAGAATACTTAAAGTCCGCGTGAACCGGAAGTTGCTGCCGACATTATTTCAGTGTAGTGATGTATTTCCAGCTGAAACGGAATATTGAATAGAGGGCATGGTTTTATTTTTGCGCTCCTACTCTCTGTCTCTCACTCATAGCAATCTAATGGTTAGAGGGGTGTGTTTAAGGATATTCTGCCCAAGCCGCCAAACTGACGTCATCAGAAAAGGAATGCCATTCCAGAGCGGAAGTAAATGTTCAGATTTTGATTAAAGATTACGAAGACAAACAATTTTTTTCAGCGGATTAACTTGCATGGATTAATTGTTTACATCAAGACTAGCAATGTGCGCTAGTAAAGTAAATAAAGTCAATTTTGATTTCATGCAGACTTTAAATACTTTTCCCATCAACTGGTCACAATGCACAACACCGCTGTATGCTGCTCAAAGCCACGTGCCGTATACCGTGATAAAAGCATTAGCAATTAATCGCAACATGAAAATTTGATACCGACATATCCCTACTGTACACTTAAGAACACTGGAGAAAAACATGGATTTTTATATGTCTACTTCAAATATCTTTTGAGAGAATTATTATTTTTCCTATTTTTACCCAAAATATGGATTGGCCATTACTGAGCGCTATAAACACTTGTAATGTCTGTTTCATTCATACTGGACGCCGGGGGGCGCCCTCGCACAGAAACTCCACATATGCATCACAGAGGTAACGGAACTCATGACGTTCCAGGAAATCCCTAATATGGGCAAAGGCATCCAGCTATCGCTGTAGCCGATTAAAAAGAGAATAGAAACGTTTTGAATGATGAAACATAAGGACAATAAACACTTGACTGCGACAATGTATAGTTTTTGTGTGTTCTTCAAGAATTATATTTATAATCCATTGCTAATCAGCATACCCTTTACTACAATATATATTTTCTGCCTCATTCTGTGATAGGAAGCCACATCAGATTACAAAAGAAAGTTATTTTAAACACTCTGCTGTTGTGGAGTAAAAACATGTTCTGTTTTGTTGGACAACAGGTTTAGAAACGCTTTTCATTACAAGTCATTACAAGGAGGATGTTCAGCGGGTGTTGCTTTTTCAAATGCTCGTCATAAGCGGAGAGGCGTTTCCTCATCTCAGCACGTAGTCATGTTTGACAATCACTAAAGAATCACTAAACAGCTGCCATGAAAACACACTTCTTGTTTGGTACATTTATTTTCATTTAATTCTTAATTTTCTATTATTAAAAAAAAAAAATTAGGGGCAAAAGTCTGGAAATGCAAATATTTTTCCATGCTCTGCTTTCTTTTTTCCATACTTTTCCAAACCGCGTAGGAACCCTGTTTATTGGACATTTATGTATCTGTGTGTGTAAGTGCATTGGTTTAATATCTGTCAGGTCTTGAGCTGGAGTATAATACTAATCATGCATCATGTAACATAATTAATATTCACCATGGACAACAAAAGTTAAGTGTGTGTGTCTGAGAGCTGTGTGCAAAGCTGTTTCCAGCTCAGTTAAATGACTCATGATGAACTGAACAGGGCTGCGTTTCTCGATAACGATTGATCTTAGCGCTTAAGAGCGTTTTCTACGAGTCAATTTACGATAGTTTGTTATTGTTTCACGTGCGTTTCCCAAAAATGCACTTAACACAATCGCACGTAGCCGTACTTTAAGTGCTACTTAGGAGTCGCTATCTGTTTGTCAAGTGCTGAAATGTCACCTTATAGAATG